CCTACCCCTGGACTAGAATGTTGCTTCCTGGTCACTGCTAGCAACCAAATCCAAGTTGTACTAGTAATTACATTACTTATCCATAGCATGTTGATAATAGCTAACAGTTCTTTGGTGACCTTAGTATGAGTCTGAATTCCTACAGAGATTATGAACTGAATCATTGTTTACTGTGCTGTCATTCACGAGTACAGTTAGAGGCTTTGATGGGATTGACAGTGGACAGGGACTTAGGTAACCCAGTTAAATCACCTGTCAGTTAAATCATCAGTCTGTAAATAGCTGTTGGGCTCTATATTTTGAGTTCAGCTATGCCATACCAGCCTATGTGGTTATATCAACCAGAGAAGGATATGGAGTGATGACTTCCGTGGAAGATGTTTGGGGGGGAAAAAACAGACTTTTATGACTAATATCTTTATTAAAAGTACTACCGTTGCAGCATTTACTGTGATGTTTAGGTTCTCAGCCTTTGAGCCAGGCTGAGGTAATAAAAATGAAATATTTGTATTTAGGCAAATATTCAATACATTTTCTTTAAGGCATCTGCATGAGAATTTGCCAATGCAGCCACTCCAGACTGCTCAGAGGACTTTTGTATTCTTGTGCTGCGATATCATTTTCAGCTTAATTTTTGATGATTTCCCGGGTGTCAAGGGGTCCTGTACCTGATGTTTTAGGAAAAAAATATTAAAGGTTGAGGTGGTCAGTGCTGTGCTGCCTGTTGTCAGCTGTGCTGAGTGGGGGACCTGGAAGGGGGACACTAACAGACGACTATGTCAGTCCACGGCCAGGTGTGTACAGTTGGATCAAAGCAACACCTGATTCTTCGGGAACCGAGTGAGGGGTACATGGAGGGGCAGTATCTTTCCCAGTGACACGGAGGAAACTAATTAACAACTGTGAGCTGCCTATGTATACTTTACCAACACAGTACTTACAAGAAATGTTCTCCTTGACTTTGCTGTTGCACCAGAATTAATTGATTCTTTCAAATGCTGTTTAGGTCACAATGGACTTTAAGTTAGTCTGATTAGCCTGTAGTCTTGCAGATGTAAAATGAAGATGTCACGTCAGATGGGAAAATCCAGCAATAAAGGAAATCATGGATTACTTAATTACTGAATTGGTAAATCCTTTTTTAAAGCTATCAGATTTTGTGTTGTACAAACCCAGAAAGTAATACATGGTTTGTGTACCATAGCATTTGTTTAAATACTTAGTCCTTGATTACGGCGGTAACAATAGTGCAGTCTCTAAATATGTAGGCAGCAAGTGTTTGAATACTTGATTGATGGACACTGATAACATTGATTCATTTAACATAAGCCAAATATCCACAATGTTCTCATTAACCACTGGCTGAGTGACCGCTATTCAGAAAAGATACACCAGCCAAGGATATTCTTATAACAAATCAAACAATTTATTTCCTTGTATGCTTGTAAATATTTAATCGAAGTTCCTGACTCCTTGTTAAAATGGTCATTTGCGCTGTGGGGATCTGAATCCGCCGCTTTTTTATGATTGTGGGTTTTTTTTTACCGGAGGGACATCCAGCTGAGTAGGACTCCTGCTTTTGGGATACGGGACTCGCTTAACTCAGCCCATGTGTCGGGCCGCTGCCTCTGCGTGGGAGTACTCGGGGCCCTTCGTAGCGGAGTATGCCTGGAATGCCAGCTCTCGGCATTCGTACAAAACACAGCATGACGCCAAGGTCCCCTGCTTTTCCCTCGTGATCTTAGCAGCTTGGTTCGTGGGGCAGTAACTTATCTGAGATTGGCTTCCATTCAATGTTGAAAGGCAGCCTTGGAGTGTTTGAACAGCGCTAGGAAGTTGGGATCGATCGTTCTCATGGTGCCGTAGGAGTTCATTCCAACACCCTGAGCCTGCCATTTGAGAGTGAAATGAAGTTTTTTTTTTTTAGATTTGGGGGGGCACTGGGAGGCAAGTATTAGCTATATTTATTGTTTATTTTTTTAAGTACAGGTTAATTTATTTTTATAATCTTCAAGCAAAATTTGAAGCACATGGGCTTATTTAGTTGAGAGGTGACACCCCACGGTCTGCTTTGCAGTCAGCCACCCGCTGCGTAATATATATGTGAGAAAACATTTATTCTGCGGTGGGCCTGGTCTAAGGTGTGGCATCAGCACAGAGTGGAATGTGTGTTCTTTGGAGGCAGCCCCAGACCATGGAGAAGAGGCGTCCTGGTCCACCTCACAGGAGGGATGAATTTGTCACCGTGATCAGACATAACTGGACTGCTCACCTTGTCCACTTGCTGTATTTTCACAGTTTCTGTTGAAACGGAAACTCTGGAATTCATAGCAGTTGGCTAAGAGCGGTTTTTATATTTTTGGTGATATGTTAATGACTACTTTTCTCAAATTCTCAAATAGTTGAGCATGTTCTACAAAATGAATATCTTATGACCCGTCATAATTAAGATGTTTAAAGTTGACCGAAGGTAAATGGCAACTCAGGGATTAGCTTAATGTTGTCATTATTCTTGTTGTTTATCATCGCATGATGTATGCGTTTGTCTGACGGATACGACTTTCACTCGGAATGAATGCAAAGATCACAAAAATATTTTTGTTCTTTTCTTTCATGCAAAGTTCTCATCAGATTTACAATTTACTTGACGCCGGAAAGGCAGGGCTATAGGCAATTTTTGCTCTGTATATGACAGTTTTCAAAGCTTCTCTCATTTGGATTAAATTTCTTCGCAAAATATTTTCTCTGTCACTTAGCCATGCCTTCATTAGGATGTCTTTGCGTTTCTGTCTGGTATTAAGTAGAGGCAGTTTTGCACAGCTGTTTCTCAGTTGGTGTGTGAGAGGATAGAAGATCCTGGCCATATCGCTCAGGTCTAGGTCAGTCTGAACATGCTGGCCACACATCACTCATGCAGCACTCCCCACAGATGAGGTTTACCTGAGCTTCTCATGATGTTTACCTACCTTCCAGTTGGAGGGGGGTGGGGGGCAAAATCAATACCGATGAGAGCTTCTCAGTCACACAGCGATGGCCCCCGACCCCGAATACAGCTCTTTCTTTTGTAAAATACACTCCCTGGTACACAGTGTCTCCTCACTCCCCATAGTCTGCATCACGCTTAAGATCGATGGGTTTGACTTACCGGGACATTTCTGAAGTCTCTTCCCACTTCTGGGTTCACTCCCCCTGTTGATACTGTGGTTATTCAGAAGTATCACACTTGTATTTATCATTCCTTTGAAAAGACTGCTTACCTGCCACACGCCGTAATATTGTCAGTGGCTGTATACCTACTGTAGTTTGATATTGCATAAAATAGCAACTCAGTTGAAGTTATTTTCTAGTCTCTGTTTCAGGTGCATGTTTTTGTCAGACCTATCTCAATATCTTTGATGTCCTGCTCAAAGAGCATAGCAAGTACACATACTAATGAACCTTAATTATTGCTTTTTATTTAATATAATAGAACTTTAATCATGATAGTACATTTTTGGTTGGTCAGCAATTGTCACCCTTTGGAAGTCTATTAGTGTCTGAAGTACCAGTAATGTTTTCGAACAGGTATGTCTTCCACTTCAGCCCTTTTGAACCCCCCGTCCTTGTCCCAGGATGAAAAAAGATTCAGACAATAGAAGGAAATGGGGGGACTGCTAAAGTCCCTCTACTCCTGTGTGATCCCATATGGACTATCTGCTCCCCCGTAATCCCACGCAGACTATCTGCTCCCCCGTAATCCCACGCGGACTATCTGCTCCCCCGTAATCCCACGCGGACTATCTGCTCCCCCGTAATCCCACGCGGACTATCTGCTCCCCCGTAATCCCACGCGGACTGCCTGCTCCCCCGCAGTCCCGCGCGGACTGCCTGCTCCCCCGCAGTCCCGCGCGGACTGCCTGCTCCCCCGGAATCCCGCGCGGACTGCCTGCTCCCCCGGAATCCCGCGCGGACTGCCTGCCCCCCCGTAGTCCCACGCGGACCTCAGGACTCGAGATCGGCTGATCTTGGGCAGAGTAGTAGTTTGATTATAAGCTGAAAGGGGGAAATTTAATTGTTTTCTGCACCTCTAGTCTAAATCTCTATAAATCATTCAAACCCAAAGTCTTTAATGTCCCTGTCTTGTGGTTCAAGAAATGTCTTCATTAACTCTATATCCTAGGTTTCTTGTGAAATGTATATAGGTTCTCTTAAGAACGTAAGACAGCTGAGAAATATAATATTAATTTCAAATGTAGAACGACTACTAAATCTTTTAGAAGTATGTCATGTCAGCATTGTCAGTGATACAATAGTTGACTCGCTGATAAATACTTTGCAAAAGCTCCAAATGTACATTGTGTCACAGAACCAACCCTAAAAATACATCTTATTTTTCCAGGGAGATAAAAAAAAAAAAGCAGTAGATGCATCTCTGTGATGGACGGGTTATGCTAATGTTGAGGTTTTCTGTTATTTTCTCAGCTGTGCTTATTCTTGGAGAAGCTGGAACGCATGCAATGTAAAGACTGTGAAAGACCACTGATTGACTTTCTAGCCCTCTTGATACATACAGTGATTAGAGATTTGCACGTAAATGATTAAATATTTGTAATAGAAAACTGGACATGGATGTTATGGAGGAAAGTGAAGCTTTGTATTTAGTTGGTTTTGTTTTGTCAGAATGACATAACATAACAATGACAACATACAGTAACATGATTGTGTACTCCTAGGCCAAACCTTAATTGCCCAACATTAAGCTTGTGCAAGGAGTGTACTCATGAATGCTATACGGTTTGGAACTGGTGGGGCTGAGACAGACTCCTTCTGTGTTAATATTATAGTCATCTTTATAAAATGATCTTCATCTCTGCTGTGACTTTAGGAGAATGGTTCATGTTTTTCTCATGACCTTTCATTATTAATGTCATGTCTGTCTTTTTTAAAGCCAGTATATTGTTGTGTCAGGTTCTGGAAATGATTGCAGCATCCTAATTAGCAGTTTGCTTTTTGTCAAATAGAGAATCAAGATTACCTCCATCAAGTGGTCCAGGAACGGCTGGGGGACCTACTGCGAGTCCTGAAGGCAGTAATCGGCAAACACCGTGTGCTGAACTCCGTGGAAATCCTCAGCGCTGCAGGAACTGTGATCGCAAGGGTGAAAGGTTAGTGGCCCGGCTCCCGTCCGTAGGAAATACGTGCTGCCGCTCGTGCAATTAGTGACCTGCCTCCCTCGGCAGATGTGCTCAGTCGCGTCATCGTAAATAGGCCCGGCTTTGAAGTGACTGGAAGAAAAGACACGCTGTGTCTGGAATGGTGGTTTCGGGGGGGGGGAGGTGTTGGGGTTGCAGATTTATACAGCCGAGGGCAGAGCTCTGAATTATGGGGGGGTGATAAAAATGTTTAAGCTTGAGATGAAAAAAGCTATTTTGATAGATGTGTGAAGCTTCTGCATGTTATAGTGGATCCCTCCTCTTAATGACTTTGTTCCTTATTTGTGTGTCTGTTTCTTTTTTCTTTTGTTTTTCACTTAAAATGTTTTGATTGTAGACCTTGTATGAAATCATAAATCTGAGGAAAATTTTGTTTATTGTGAAATGAAAACTTAATCCGACCCGCATGAGTGCTTTAAGGACGCCTGTTAATTGTGTTGGCATCCTAGTATGGGGAAAGCAGTCTCAAATAGCAGATTTTTTGTGGCAGATAGTAGGTAGTAGCATCATACGTGTGATTTCCAGTACAGATCATCAGTCCCTGGCTTGATATGGAGGGTTGTAATGTCACGGTCACATCATCAAGTTTAGTCAAGAGAGCCAATTAAAGCCATAAGATTTCTTCTCCATCCAAAGAAATAAAACATTTCATGCTTACTTTGAGGTTAGAATCTAGTTGGGCTCCAGATATGAAGAAACTTGAAGTGTCAGTGTGGTTGACCTTCTAATTATCTCAGTACCTGCATTGATTAAAACAGATTGCTTAGTTCAGTGTCTTGTAGAAAAGTGATACGGAGGAAAGTATTGACCTGAATCAGTATAGCAAGCATGGGTTTAGGCAAGGCAAATTAAGTTTATATAGCACGATTCAGATACAAGACAATTCAAAGTACTTTACAAAATCACAAGAGCACGTTTAAATAAAAGACATTAGGCTTCTGGGCTTTCCATAAAGGAGGTCTGAGCATTTGTATTGGGGTTGCTTCACTGTGTTCAGAGCACTTGCGAGTTATTGCTTTGCCTTTAAGTGTTTTCATACCTGAATTATGATTTTGTTACTCTGGCCATTTTTCAGAATTCTAAATAAAAGGCATCCAGGGTTTCGTTGCTGCAGTCCCAAGTTCAGACAGACAGGATCCAGATGTGAGAATGAGCTGACGGAATTTACCACAGAGTTGCACGTCTCCATTTGTTGAAGACAGATGTCTCTGATTTGAAGAAATGAACCACTTTCATACTGCTGTCACTAAATAACAGTGATGGTTTAGGCGTTACACTCTGTTTTTAAATAAAATGTTATTCCCTAAAAAAAAAAAAACCAAAACGTAATTTTTGTAAAACTGTTACAAATTGCCTTTACATAGTAATGAATATGTCAGAAAAGTATTATCATACTTGATCTTTTCTCTATGAGTTTACATTCATGTGGATGATTTGCGGTGCCTTTAGAGTCCTTTCTGTGGGTTGAGTTACACATTTAACCTTAAGCTTTCATCTCATGTGTTTGATAGCCCTACCTAGAGGCTTATCTGGATATGTGTGAAAATCTCATACATATTTATTCAGCAAACAATATCCATTTGTTTTGAATTAATCGGGGGTGGAAAAAAGCCTGATAAGTTTCTCCATCAAAGTGGTGGGTGTTTCCTCGAAGGCCATTTTTGCTGGATGATGTAGTTCCTATGCGTGCATTGTGAGCAGCTGCCGTCCCTGGGCATTGTTCCTGCGTGCAGCCTCAGGATGTCCTGGGGAAAGCCTCGGAATAGCAGAGGCTTAGAGTCACGGCTCGCAGGCTGAGTCTTTGGAAGATAGGTGCTTGTGCCTCTCCTCGTAGGAGTACAGCGGGAATTTGCTCTTTGTGCCTGACCAGAATCTTCCCAGAACCCTTACAAAAGATTTTCCTGGACCTTCCTGAGGGCTTTCATTTGGAAAAGGGCTTCATATCGGCACCTTTCCCGTGCTGGGAAAAGTGCAAGCTCAGAAAATTCCCTGGATTGGTTGAGCTGAGCCCCAGGATTTCGTTACATTTGACCTGTATTTTCTCGCTGGTTTCATCAACCGCAGTTCGGTTGGCCGAATGGGATGCGTAACAGTGGGTAAGGGCTGGTTACTTTTATTTGGATTTTGAGCTGTATTCCTGAGTTTCCTGTGGCATTGTAGCATGGAGACAGGAAGCAGTGGGTTGATAGTTTAATGTATTTAGTTCTAAACTGTTTGTGGTGTTTTTAGGCTTTCTAGTACATAGACTGAATACAGTTGTCTTTAACATTGACGATCAGTTTATTATTATATTTTAGTTTCAGGGAGGGATTTTTTTTTGTGCAATTAAGTGTACCAAATCTAGCCAGAAATAAATTTTGTGTGGGGCGACCCTGGGGTATTTTGATGACCAGGGCGTCCCTCTCCATAAATTTTGCCGACTGGGGGTCCCATAAGAGGATTTGTTGATCGGGGGGGGGGCACAAGTCTAGGGGATAACAGCAGGAATCCCTATGAGATTTGAGCCTGCTTGTCCTTAACATAACCAAAGCTGATTTACTGTAGGTATGGCCTTACATCTTAAGTTGAAAGATATTTAATGAGGTAAGTTTCTCTGAGTTTCTTTGTCATCTCATCTGATTTTATAAGTGCCTAGGTTTTCCTCCTTTTCCGCCTCTGCCGCCTTTTAAGATTCCGGTACAAACTTGCTACCGGCTGAGCGGAAGCATTGAGGACATTTCAGTCCTGCGGATGGGATGAGGTCAGCGCCTGCGGGCATGGCGCACACACACACACACACACACACACACACACATGCACGTGCAGACCTCCGGCCGGTTCGCAGAGTCTCACGCGCTTGTTTTGCGTAACCCTTGCAAACGTGTTTTCGCCAGTCACTCACACCCTTATTTGGGTGCTTAGACCTACATCACAAAGGGGGCTTTTGTGAATAGTAAACATTACGGCACTGGTTGTTTCTGTTGGTACACGGTAATACATTCTAAATATGAAGTCAAGCAAAATGGACTTAAGTAATAAGTCTAGTATCCCATGGTCAGCAAAGTAGTTTCACCACTGGGCCCCTGAGCAAAGCCCAATGGTGCACAGTTGTTCCAGGAACTGGCTTCACCCTGCTTTCTCAATTATGACATCAAGTGTACTATTAGCATTCTGCTACATAGTTGTATATATTCACTGTCCTTATTTTTAAACTGAGGGGGGAATTTCAGAAAGATGAATGGACCGTTTTTAATATCAAATCATTTTTTTCTTGGTATTGCGTTTGTCTACAATGAGTAACTGTATTATTGCACGTGTCCCTCGACAGGTGTGAACTTCAAGGAGGTGAATGAAGAGAATAAGAGGAACCTTTTTGATGAGATACACTCTTCTATCGACACGTTTGCATTCACTTTTGGCAATGTGTAAGTGCCTGTGTTTTCTGTTTCTCTTAAGGAGCTGCAGTCTTTCCGGCACTGATGTCAGTAACACTGTACGATGTGAAGTTTTCAGAGCCTTGATGGTAATAGTCCATAGCACACGACTGAAGAACAAATTTCCAAAGTGCCATTTTTTGTTTGAGATGAGACAGCAGGTCACCTAAAGTCAGGCTTCCTCATCATAATTTACATGTAATCCAGTGAAGAACTTTCATTAAATTTCCCAAACTCACTAAATCCAGAGAAATTCTCAAAAATACGTCCGATATACTGAGTTAGGGAAATTTGCTGTCCGAATAGTTCTCTTGAAATAGCAGTGTCTTTGTTGGGATCTAGCTCAACTTTCTTCACTTGGTTTTGCTGTTAAGATTACAGTAATAGCTGAGTTGAGCCCTTCTTTCCTTGGGATGCGGGTGCTTTCCAGCTGTGATTGTGTGTCACTTCCTCTCTCCTTCCTCCAGAGTGTCAGACTTCCTTATGGGAGATGTGGACAGAGGATCAGCACTGGGACTGACCCAGACTCTCAAAAGCCGAGTAAGGATTCATGCTGTGTTTGTTTGCCATTTGCGACCATGTGAATCGTATTATTCATAACGTATATTAAAAACAAATCGTCTGGTGAAGTATGTAATATTCACTCTTAGTGAAAAGGAGATTAGATATGAGCCTTATCACTCAAGGACGCATTACGTGCATGTTTGCCAAATTACGCAACCATGCTTTCAACATTTTTTCACACCTGCAGTATCAGAACTCATGCAGTTGATGTCAGGAGGACACATACATCTCAAAAACCTACATGGTTATAATTGGTCGATTCTGACCCTACTGATCCTGGATCTGTTTTCTTTTCAAGTCTTTTGAGAACCTTTGTGCAGAGTCTGGGGGATCTTCTCCTGAAAAGGATGACAGCCCAGGTAAGAGTCTCTCCACATCCACATTTCCTGTTTGGGTTTACGGAACACTAAATTCCCACTACCTGATCCTGCACCCGAAAGTTCCGAAACCCCTCTCTGCTTTTGATGTGAGCTTGCGTACGGACGCCATATAGCGTACAGCAGCAGTCTGCACCAGTGCGTACGGACGCCGTATAGCGTACAGCAGCAGTCTGCACCAGTGCGTACGGACGCCGTATAGCGTACAGCAGCAGTCTGCACCAGTGCGTACGGACGCCATCTAGAGTACAGCAGCAGTCTGCACCAGTGCAGTAGGGTGCAGTTGCAGCAGACTGTCTGTGTTGTTACACCGAAGAAGGGGGTGGAAATCCTTAGCGGGTCTGCTTAGCGTCAGCAGGGATTATGACGATCCCCCCCCCTCCACGGGCAAGGTCAACGGCAGCTTTTCTTCCGCGGTACGCAGACCTAGTGGTTGCTGGTCTTGGTAGCGATGCAGGTGCCCCACTGTCTCACCCTCCCTGGTGTCCGGTGTGTATTTCCAGGGTCACCACGGGCGGAGGAGGTGGACAGCGTGCTCTTGGGCAGTGACAATGGTGTGGAATCGGCGCTGCTCTATGCCAAGGCCTGGTCGAAGTACGCCAAGGACCTTCTGGCCTGGGTGGAGAAGAGGCTCAGCCTGGGTGAGTGGGTGGAGCTGGATTTAAGCATGCTGTCTCATGGTTTTGCCTTTGTGACATGGCCTCCAGGCTGTAAAACAGGGTTTCTGTTTTATTCTCCGTGCTCCAAGAACATCTCTAACCATCGCTTGTGCTTCCAGATATCGAATGCGCGAAAGCCTTCGCCAAAATGGCAGAATCTGCGAAGACACTCACAAGTCAGCAGGTAGATGCGCTTAACGAGGGTTGAGCCTTCAGATACTGAGGAACGGGGAAGATACTTGAATACCAGTCTTTTTAACGCATAAATTACTCACCTTCTTTTTTTTTTTAATGCTGAAGGTGTACATGCCATTCCAGGAGGCTTACATCTCCGCCTTTAAAAATGACATTGAGTACAGCCAATTGGTGCTGCAAACTGCCGCTGCTCTCCAGTCAAACAAATTCACTCAGGTATGTATAAAATGAAGCTGTTTTGTTTGGCTACTGCAGCTGTTGCAGTTTGTTTTCATTTGTTATAAACAAACAACGTGTCGTCTGCTTCCCTTAAAATGGCACTTCTTTTGTTTTTATTCCTATTGCTCTAGCCCCTGCTAGCTAGGAAGAATGAACTGGACAAACGTAGGAAAGAGATCAAGGAGCAGTGGCAGAGGGAACAAAAAAAAATTGTGAGTGTTTTGAGTTAGCTCTCTGGTTGTGACCATTGTTTACGTCCCAAACTATACAATGAGGGTAAAAATACAAAGTGAAGGTGTTTTTGATATATCCTGTATATTAATATGCCCCGATTAAATAACATGTTCAACTCAAAGTAGCTTGATTATCATCTTCTGCTATATGATGTATGAGTGATAATTAGAATGTAAATATGGAGGACATTTCATTTTCAAAATACTGAGACGTGGACATAAAAACAGAAATATAGTTAAAAATTCAGTTAGTAAATGGGCAACACTATACAACACTATGCAATGAATTTGCAATAAATAGATGGTGAAGCACTAAGATCTGCTCTAGCCAGCCAGAGAGTACAGTGGTACCTCAATTCTTAAACTCATTAGAACTCGAATTTCTTAAGTCGGACCAACCAGTTAAAAATAAAATTACCTAGAACTCGATCTGAATCTCAGAAGTCAAACAGTGAATGCCGACCTAAGATAACTTCCAATCACTTCAAACGCGGCACGCCTCTCAGCAGAAACATAGGGTAACGCTTCAGTCTCAGCCTCGCATTCGCTGTGATAGTATCGTGTATGTTTACACTAGCTGAATACATATATTTAGACAGTAAAAATACATTTAGACAAAGTGTAACAGTATTTATTATTATGTAATAAAATACATTTAAAAATAAAGATTTCTTATTAATTATTTTTATATTAATAATAAACCATTAATACATTTAATTATAATAATATTGTCGTGCCGAGCGGGGATGGAACAGAGACAAAGACGCAGACGTCAGGGTATCGGGGAATACGGGGTTTAATTACAGGTAAGGCAGGCAAAACACAGACGGACAATACAATGGCTGGTCTGGGGAAACAAACTGAAACGCGGACTAAATACAGACGACTAATGACAACAACCAGAAACAGCTGATGACACGGGGATTCCACACAGGGTTAACGAGGGGGCGTGGCACACGGGAGGGGTGGACGATCGGGGCAGGACACATTGTTTGGATACATTTTTATTTTCTTACTTTACAAATTACTGTTTTGATAAATGTGCTTAGATGTGTTTAGTACAGTATATGCTCTTCTTGTTTTATCCTGTTCATTTTGTGTTTAAATGCTAAAAAAAACATATTTAGATGTAATTTTTTGGGGCCGGGAACCAATTAATTGATTCTCCATTATTTCTTATGGGGAAAACTCGATCACAACTCAAACTTTTTAGGATTCCATCCGGAGTTCTGAACGGATTAAATTCGAGTTCTGAGGTACCACTGAATATGGTGCACATATCTGGATTTGCTTATTAATGCTAGTACAGTGCGGGTGGGACTCTGTGTGTGCAAGTGTGCGTGTGTACACTGTGCTGCGCGATCGTGTGCGTGTGTACACTGTGCTGCGCGATCGTGTGCGTGTGTACACTGTGCTGCGCGATCGTGTGCGTGTGTACACTGTGCTGCACGATCGTGTGTGTGCTACTTGGTCCTGAGCAGCTGCTTTGCTCCTTCCTGCGGTTTAGCAAGAAGCAGAAAATGCGCTGCGGAAGGCCAGGCTCCTGCAGGCCCAGAGGCTGGAGGAGTACGAGCGGGCACGCTCCTGCACCAGCCGCGCCGAGGAGGAGCAGCTAGCCAGTGGAGGCAAGCAGCTGGAGAAGAGGAGGAGGATGGAGGAGGAGGCGCTGCAGAAGGTATGCACCCTCCCCCACCCCGGATGGCTCCCTTTATCTCTCCCCCCCCCCCCCCCTGCAGAGAATAGTCTTGTAATATCGGGTCACTGACATCAAGAATCAAATCTGGAGAATGTTTTTTGTCACTGTCCAAGTGGGTTACACAAGTTCAGTGAAATAATGGTACAATCAAACACAGTATAAAATAAATTAGATAAACGAACTAAAGGTCTGTTCACCCCAGCGATGATGAGTCGCATTATTAAAGCTGCTTTATCATGCTTTTTGTGCTTCAGTCTGGAACACGCTGTAACGAATCACAGTACGATGAGCTGTGTTATAATCTTTGCTTTTGTTTTGAAAATGGCCTCTCTATCTCGTGCATGGGATTCCGCTCATGCCTTGTTTCAGGCCGAAGAGGCCAAGGAGCAGTACAAAGCCTGCGTTGCCGACGTGGGGGTGAAGAGGGTGGAGCTGGCGAGCGTCAAGGGCGAAATCCTCACGCAGATTCGAGAGCTGGTGTTCCAGTGCGACTTGACGTTGAAAGCCGTGAGTGTTTGGCTCCAGAAGGGCACTGGGCTGTGTTGTGGTTTAGCTACTGATAGTATGTCACTTATATGATGTATTCTGCATCATCATCATCATCATCATCATCATCATCATCATAATAATAATAAGAATAATAAGAGTCATCCCATTTAATATTAGCCCCCTAATTGCCAGTGTTTTCTGGGATTGGTTTTTACTGGATGGGTGGGTGGAGTACATAATAATTACTTAATAAGTTCCTCTGGAATCAATATAATTCTTTTATCTTAATAATGTTATGCTTCATTAGTATTTATTTATTTTTATTGATTATTATTTGTCAATTTGTCAATGTTGTGCTTGGTTGTGTTGTTCTGTGGCTGATCATGATCCTATTATTCTAATATTAACAATAATTATAGGCTGTCACCTTTATGATTCAGCTGCGGTGACTTATGGCCTGGCCACTCCTTCCTACAGGTGACAGTGAACTGGTTCCAGATGCAGCAGGCTCTGGCCATCTCCCTTCCATTAAAACACCAGTCGCTCTGTGAGACAGCCAAGCTGTACGATCCGGGACGGCGCTACATGGAGTTCGTCAGGAACCTGCCCAGGGAGCGCTGCAGGGGAGAGGCCTTCTGCTTTGACGGGCCCGTGCCCCAGAATGCTGGGTAAGGCGACAAGCCTCAGAGGGGCGGTTCACCGGCAATGCCGCCAGCACTCTTCTGAAGAGTGCTCTGGAACCTTGGTGGGGGGGGGGTGAGCTACGAGAGAGAGTGAGAGCGAAGGTGAGCAGGAGGACCTAGCTAAAGGACACCGTAGTGCTTCTCTGGACTGCAAGTGTGTCATTGTTTACTTTTTTGCAAAAATAGTGTCACCTCTCGTGTGACGCAAACGACCTGGAGATCATAGTGGTTTTACCTCAGGCGGAGTTTGAACATTTCTTTCGCACAGTTATCTCCAGGACTAGTGGTACGTATGAAGCTAATTGCTAAGCCATTGTGCCACCCCTAAGCTAGCAATAATAATAATAATAAATAAATAGTAAAACTGCTGAGGAATGGCTGCGTTGATATCGTTGTTATTAGTTTGAGGGGAGTCTGAAGATGGCATGTATTTTGTTTGGTTAGCTTTATGCGGATAATGTGACACTGACTAAACCGGTGCGTGACTCTAAGAGAGAGTGTTGGCCATTTAATCAGGCATCCCTCAGCATCGTAGGCGTCCCAGAAAAGGCTCCAGATCACCACAGAGGGTGGTGAAGGTGAAGGAGCATCGTAATAATGGCCACCATCGGTCAAACATCACCTGCTGCTCTTCCGCTAGGTTGCAGCCGCATAAGCGGACGGGGATCTGCACCAGCTACTCCCACGGAAACCTTTCACAAATGTCCCTCAACTCCGGGGACCACAGCAATGAGGAGGTGGGCAGTCCGGTCCAGTCACGCATGGGGAGGAAGATCGGAGAAAGGCGATCCAACAGCAGCACGGACATCCAAGGTAAGCTTTAGGGCCCCCCTATTAAAATCTGGCCCTCGATTCCAAACCCAGGCCTTGTTTTCAAGTCTCCCAGGTAGTTAGCTTAATAACTTCTGGCTCTAATTGGCCAGAGGCTTCACAACTGGCTCCCAGGTAAAGAAAATCTGGAAAAACAGCAGTGCTGGGCCCTTGAGGACCGTGATTTGCATGGCCCTGCTTTAGGGTAACCTTTGCTGGTGCGCTAATGAAACATTCATGAAAACACCCCTGTTAAAGTAAATTGTACAGAAATTTTGTACCTGTTTCACTTTTTTACATTTTTTTAAGTCCTTATTTTTACTTTTTGTATTGGCTTTTTAATCCAGAGAAAAGCTTGCAAAGGTTGAATCTGTGGTCATTTCATACATGCCACAACCAAAAAGGATTCCTATAAAACTTTTATTTCTCTGAACCAAATCACAAATGAAACTATGCAAAAAGAAAATATTCCGAAAACAAAAGCGAAGTGACATAAAGTGGTCAAAAAATTGTATATAACATTGCTTACCCCTTCCAACATTTACCCACCAAACTCGAATCTGTCACACCTCCTGTCGGCCATGACACATCCACCATTTACACGACAGCCCCTTCCCTATGCTTAAAAACTTGCATAATTTATTGTTCAGCATTTCTCTCAAAATGAATCAAGCCTATATTAGCAAATACTTTTAAATATATTTCAGGATATTTACATTTACATGTTTAGTTATATATCGTTGCTTTCTGATGAAAACTGTCCACTTGTGGTATATGTCCACTTGCGACTTTTTAGTATAGATGCAATGCATCCATTCGTTTCTGTGTGCTGATAGTATTTAACATGTAATTGTCCAATGGATGTTTTCTGAAATTATCTATTTAACTAGTATTCATGTTTTTACTAGTTCACATTTGTATTCATAGTGGTTGTATAGATTACTTTACTTTATATCACTAATTTTAACAACTTAATGGTAACAGCTAGATAGCTAGCTAACTAAAATCATTGGTAATCGTGAATATTAAGTGTGGTTAGTCTATCTGTTGTTGATACTGACATGCTTGCCTCACTGTCAACAATCTAGGTAAGTTAATTTAAGGCATTAAACTGTTTACTGATGGCAGTGTTAAGATGTTTCTGTGGCACCAAATGTGTCACATTACGTTGTTTTAGGCTTATTTTGTAAAGTCGTTTCTGAGAAAATGTGTTTTTCACACTCCTAAACTAGTGGATTTTTGCAGATGTGTGTTTTGCACTGGACAGAGACGATATGTGTATATATACGTTTACAGTATGTGGAAAATGGCTACATCACCTTTACTTAAACAATTTTCACTGTTATAGTACATTAATGGAGTGGTTAACATTATTCTGACAGGGAGCAATAGGTTTGATTCTGCACTATAATAGGTAGCCATGGCCCCAGTATTGCTAAAGATAATTAGGTTGTGACTGAATGGAAGAGGCTTCCGTTTCCTGTATTAAGACGTTCCTGGCTAATGAGCCGTCACAGTGTCATGCAGGTATGTGTGGCCTCATTAGTATCAGAGATTGACTAAACAGCGGTATATTGGTGACTCGTTGGCACGCAGTGGCAGTGGGTGAAAAGTGACCGAGTGAGGAGTGAGATTGGCGTGTGGGGGCTGTGTGCTTGATTCTCACGCCTGAACGCGGCTCACACCCTCTTCCCAACTGTGTGCTATTCATGCCTTTTCTTTATGCCTGGAAATTAAACCTTGTGCTGCATTCACAGGAAAAAAATCCCGCAATTCCTGTATCTTGGAATCAATCCAGTTTTTTTGTCCTCTTTTATTGTTCCTTCCACTCTTTCTGTAATTCACAAGTTTTCAATTTTTATGCTTGGAAATTAAACCTCGTCCTGCATTCACAGGAAAAAATCCCGCAATTCCTGCATTTTGGAATCAATCCAGTTTTCTTCCCCTCTTTTATCCCTCCTTCCACCTTTTCTGTAATTGACAAGTTTTTAGTTTTTCAACTTTGTGTGACAAATTTACATGTTTACTCTTAACTTAACCATGCTAGTCATGCCATACTCAGTATATATTATATAATAATGTTTTGGTGGAGTGGTGGTTCCGAAGCTAGGGATCTGTGCCAGCAGCTGGAAGGTTGCTGGTTCAAATCCCATGAATGCCCGGAGTGATTCTACTGCGTTGGGCCCTTGAGCAAGGCCCTTAACCTGCAATTGCTCTGTTCTGGGTATGATGTTATTCTACATCCAGCCCTATAAGGAGGTCCTCCAACTTACAGGGAAAAACTTGGGGGTTGGTGGCAGGATTGGAACTCCAGCCACCGGGGGAAAAAAATTCCATTTGGACCAGTGTGGTGCTGAGGTATCACCCACCACATGGCTGCACTCAGGTTCTCTTCCCTGAGGTGGTTTTTCGTGGGGTGGGTCCGGCAATGCACTGTAATCAGTGCACACTCCTTACCTCATAATGTTTTGCACATATTTCACTTCAAAGGTTTTTATCTGGAAGATAACTTAGCCAATCACTTTTTGTTTAACAGAGATACAGTACTGCGCAAATATCTCAGGCAGTCAAAGAAAATGATGTTTCAATAATCTTCCCTCTGATGTAAAACTGTATGATATTATATCTGTATAAGTGTGTTGGCCATTTGAAAAGCTCCCCTAAGTCACCCCTGTATTTGCAGAGACCACCCAGCACACCCATGTATGCTTTTGACTCGACCCCTAGTACACCTTGTATGGGTAATCAATACCTCATTGACTTTTTAAAAGTAATTACGTTAGTAAAGTGAGCTTGTCATGAAATGTAAGGGATACATGGAATGGCTGAGGTGCCCCTGAGGAGAGGTTTGGGAACTGAAAGTATCGACTTTTTGGAGAACAGAAGAAATTCCTATTAGTTTTTATTGTGTTAATTTGTGGGGGGTGGCAAAGGAGAATTGTGACTAACAGCACATTCTGACTTGTGTTTAAAATCTGAGGATGGTGAATATGAACCTAAATGCATTGATCATGACTGTGTTGCAGCGCTAAAGGTCCAGGCCACGTTTCGCGGCTGGAGCCTGGCTGGTCAGGGAGGTGGGATGTGCAGCGACTCTGAGAGCGCCGGGGGCAGCAGCGAGTCCCGCTCCGTGGACTCTCCGACCGCCAGCCCAGGTAGGCGTTTGGCCTAGGTCTTACAGTCTGTCCCCTGGGGAATTTGTGGCTCTGTTGAGGCCACTCCTAGCTGTGCCCGTTTCCAGAAACCTTGAAGGGGAAAAAAAAAGAATGAATGTTTCTGCCATTCCGTCATCCCGTTTCATGGGTTGTGGGTGGATTTTGGCAAGTGACTTGTTTTTTTATGGGATACCTGTTGTTTTCATGCAAGACGCCACATGCTGTTGTTGCGATGACGCTGCCAGCCTTGCTGACGGTTCGCGGCAAAGGCATATAATCAAGAAGCCCTTTTCATTCGGGCCAATGGGGTGGGTCCATGGTCCATCCCTTCAGGGTGCCCCCTGCCTCAGGTCCTGTGTTCGCTGGGGTAGATTTCAGGCTCTCTGTCACCCTGAACTAGATAAACTGGGAGGGAGGGATGGGTAGTGGGACATATATGAAGCATTCTTGTCCATCTTATTATATACGGGAGCAGCGTCTGGCTCGGTGGGCTAAGCCTCTGTTCTAGTGATCAAAAGGTCGCTGGATCAAGCCCAGCCTCAGTACATCTGTGGGTTCTTGAGCGAGACCCTTAACTCTCAGTTCCCTGGGCGCTGCTATTGGTGGCTGCCCTTCGCGGACAGCTTGCTCTGACCTACAGAGGCAAGTTGGGGGTGGTGTAAAGAGAATTTCCCCACAGGGATTAATGAAGTATCAATTATAGTAATTTTTTAATTCTTATGTAGAATATGCAGCTTTTGCTTTCAGATATACTAAATAACCCATGGGAACAATAAACATCTTGCCGTATCTCACGTTACCTCATCGTGTCTCATGTTATGGCATGTGGTCATGCTTAATCAGAAGGTTCTCTCCCCCGATGTCGCTTCGGTGACTAATACAGGAGGGAGTGCTGGTGTTAAATGGTTCTAAGAAATGTCCTCTGGCTGCAAATCAGCACCGGGCCCATTGAGTTTGAGTAGCTGCATTTCTGCGGGTTGATGTCATGAGGAATGAAAGCCCCCTGCCCTGAGAGTGTCCTCTCTTTGTCGGTGCCTTAACGCCGAAGGGTGTAAGAATGCGGGGAATGCGTCCTGCAGTTGACTGGGGTGGCCTATTCATCTATGGGGCGGGGGGGTCGAGTGCTTGATCGCTGAATGGAGGTGCGAATTAATCCGTGATGCACATTGTGAGGTCCTTCGGGTGGGGGGGGGGGGTGCAGTTTACCACATGTGCCAAATACACCCGCCCACCATTCCCCAGCTGCAGCGACACGTGGCACGCGAAGAGGCGTTAAAAACAGATGCGCGTGTTAACAGCAGCGACCGTGTCCCTGGCGCAGGTGACTTCAAACGGAGGATCCCCAGGACCCCCTCGACAGGCACCATGTCCTCGGCGGACGACCTGGACGAGAGGGAGCCGTCGTCACCTTTGGATACCGGTGAGTCAGACGAATGTCAGGACAGAATCAGCTATACAGGGTGTTTTTATTTTGGCTTATGATGGGCTGAACGTGAGTCAGAACCAAGGCTGTACTGGGATTAAAACTCGCCCATGGACCTTTGTCTACATACATACCTAGGAAGAATTTTGCCAATCCACAAGTCCGTCGGCCCTCTGGGGAAATGCCCAGTATGCCAGTTCAGCCCTTATAGACATTTGGAAATTATTTAACTCAAGAAGCCAGTAGTACTGGTTTTCTCCAAGTTAATTAAAAAATATATTTATAATATATATCACACACATGTTCAGAAGTTGTAGATGCAGTTCATGTAGTGAATAAAATGAATTGGATTTTAAAATAACTCAACTTTTAAAATTTGGTTATTAAAATCTTATTTACTCATCTACCTTTGGCATGCTCCAGGGTTGAGTGACATGGTGAATGAGACTAGCAGCTCTCCTGGACCTTTCCGGAATGCTCACATGTCCAAAGCTGCCCAGACGCACAAGCTACGGAAGCTGCGCTCCCCTTCCAAATGCCGGGAATGTGATGGTCTGGTCGTGTTCCATGGGGCAGAGTGTGAGGAGGTACCAGGACTTTTTCTGGAGAACCGGGAACTTCCGTCAGTTTGTTTACTCAAGCCAAAAGTAGATACGTTGAAGAATTATACTTCCTAGATAGAATTATATTCCCTAGATATGTTTATTTTATGTTTAAATTGTTTAGCAAACACTTTTATCCAAAGAGAAATACAGTTGAGAAAGTAAGGTCAGCCAGGGTAAAATGAGATTAGGGGTCTTGCTCAAAGACCTAGCAGTGAAATCACTTTGTAAAGCACAGGATTTGAACCGATGACCTTCTGATCACAGGCATTGTGTTTTAACACATCGAGCTGTATATGAAAACCTGAAATGACATAGAGCTGCTTAAAGAAATAACAGGAAATATGGCTCCTTAGCTTGGATCATGCTGGAATAATTCTGACAGTACGAGAGTGGACAGTAATTCTGCTGTCCACGTTTTCCCAGTGCTCTCTTGCTTGCCACAAAAAGTGCCTGGAGACGCTGGCGATCCAGTGTGGCCACAGGAAGCTGCAGGGCAGACTGCACCTCTTTGGGATCGACTTCACACAGGCCGCCCAGAACAACCCCGACGGCATCCCCTTCATCATCAGGAAATGCACGTCGGAGATCGAACACCGCGCTTTAACCGTCAAGGTACCGGTTCCCGTGCGCGTCGCCCTGCTGTGTTAGCAGATTAGAGCTAAGCAAACTAGACAGAGAGAGAGAGTACCAGTCAAACTTCTGGACCCACCTACTAAAAATCATTTTAACATAGCAACCCTGAGGAATCATTTGAGCTATAAAATTAAGTATTATCTTATGAACAAGGAAAGAGACAGAGTGCTGTGACAGATGACCAGGACCCCACAATCCCTTGACCTTAATCCTATAGAGCTGGTTTTGGATGAGCTGGGTCGACGAGTAAGAGCAAGGTAGCTCATATCTACCGTAGAACTTGTGGGAACTCTTTCTGTACTGTGGCTACATCTGGAAGCTGGTTGAAAGAATGGCAAGAGTCTGCAAAATTTTAGAAAATTTTGAGATGCTGAACATTTCTCTTGGTCATTACAATATTAGCCTTTTATTATAAGGTGAATAACAGCTAAAATGAAGACAGATTGCAGGTGTACTTTTGACATGAATGGATGGATGGATACAGTAGCTGAGTAGCTGCATTTAGGCAATTAATGGACATTTAGACAATAATAGATAGTATCAATAAATAATAAACAACAATAAATAGTAACAGTGCCAGGAAAAGTATTGCATGGAACTCCCTGCTATTGGCTCAGGATGTTCCTTAGCTGTTCTGGTCCATTCAGACAGTTGTTTCAGAATCACTTGGTTGCACTCACTGGCTGTTCATTTGTTGTCCCGCTTAACATCTGTTTTTCTGGATTAAGGGTATATACCGCATCAATGGGGCGAAGTCCCGGGTGGAGAAGCTGTGTCAGGCTTTTGAAAACGGCAAGGACCTGGTTGAACTCTCTGAGCTGTACCCTCACGACATCAGCAACGTGCTCAAACTCTACCTGCGGCAGGTACGCCGTCACCTTTGATTTCTAGTGCAAACGTACATATACAGGCTGCTACACCCATCCAACTTTCATAACCGCTTATCCGGTACAGGGCCTGAGGCGTCCTGAGACTTCAGCACATTGAGCACACATATGACATACATTCATATAAGCAATTAGTTTCAGCTAGTTTGTGGACTGTGGGAGGAAGCCAGAGAATGTGGGCAGAGCAGTGAACCCCCATCCCTCGGGGTATGAGTCAGCTGTGCTCCCCACTGAGCCTCCATGACTCTCCAACATTATCAAATCACTTTTTTTTTGTCACATGACACTTGGTGAAGTACCGGTGAGTGAAAAATTGTGTGCAGTTCCACTGAAAAATGTAGCAACATCTATCCATTTTCTGTAACTGCTTGACCTATTGATGGTCGCATGGGGTCTGCGGAGCTTATCAGTGCAAGATACAGATCAGTGCCATCACAGAGCACACTCACGCACCTACTGGTGATTCGGTAGCTCTAATCTAGTTTTTGAACTGTTGGGGGAAGCTGGAGGGAATCCCATGACAATATGAGGAGAACATGCAAACTTCTCACACGGAGCCATGGCGGAGACTTGAACCCTGGTCCCGGAGCTGTAAAGTAACAGCTAACCATTGCACCACCATGCACCCCTGTGGCAGCAACAGAATAGTGTAAATAAAAATGAATAGTGCAAATAGGAAGTATACCAAAAATTCTAATTTACAGCATAGTAATCTTTCAGTCAAATAAATAGCAGAGAAAGCTGCTTGGAACTGTATTTTATCTCACTGTGAGGTGTGGTTGACCTATATAGATGAGTATAAAACAACATAAATGATATCACTAAATAATTGATTGACTGGTACGCTGTGAACTTTGGTAAAAGCTGCTTTTCCCTTGTAGCTCCCAGAGCCGCTGATCCTGTTCCGTTTCTACAACGACTTCATCGGCCTGGCGAAGGAGAGCCAGAGCATCATCGTGGACGAGGTGGACAAGGCCACCGGGGACGCCGTCACCGACCAATCCCAGGGCAGCGTCCAGTTCAACCGGCTGCTGTTCAAGGTCAAGGACCTGCTGCGGCAGCTGCCCCTCGCACACTACCGGACCCTCCGCTTCCTCATAGGTCACCTGCACAGGTGCGCTCCACCCTCAGGCTGCACCTTTAGTGCATAATGGACAAGAGGAATCATGAGGTGCCGATGTGTGTCTGTAACGAGCACTTAATATGAACCCGTCTGCAGAGAGAGAGCCCCCGCTTGGTACCTTTAGGGTGTTCTCTTTGTTTGTATGACCGTCCTACATCCAGGGGTCTCATTTATAAAACTTTGTGTAGAACTCATTCTAAAAGTGTACGTGCGCTCAAAAGACGAAAATGATGCACGCAAAGAAAAAGTCAGATTTATAAAAACGTGCGCACGCACACCTCCAAGCAATATACGCTTTATAAATCGCACACTACCTGGGATTGTACACACGTGGATTTGCCACATATTCCACCCTCTACACGCCCCCATTCAACCATACATGGTCAATGCAAATCACCTCGTGTGTATTTAAGCATCCGATGTAAACCTGGAAAAAGTCATGGCATCATGGCAACCGAGGGGAAAAGTAAGAAGAGAAATTTTTCTGAAACCGAGGTAGATTGTGGGTATGGAAGCCCGTTTGCCCGTTTCCGCTACCGTGGAAAAAAAATATATAATTTAAGTCGAAATTTCGAGATAATTCTCGTTATTTTGAGATGTTATCTCGAAATTTCGACTTGGTTATCTCATTATTTCGAGAAGTCGAAATTTCGCCCTAAAATTATACATATATTTTTTTTTCCATAGTGGTGGAAACAGGCTTCCATGGGTATAACAACCGGCCACCTGATGCATCTAAACATCGCCATCTGCATTTCAGCAGGCCGACCGCACGCTCCACAGCGCGAGCGAGCATGAGCCTCGCTGTAGCGTTTTTCCTGTGCGCTCTGGGGGTTTGAGAGGGAGGTGAGCAGCCAGCGTTTGAGAGGGTAGCCGCTGTCACCTGCACCTCATAACAGAACGATTCAATGCATGAACAATGAATACTTATAAATTACACAATGTTTTTATCACCTTACCAAGAAGCCAGTCATCGCTTAGCAGACCCCAGACCAGGGGTACCCAATCTTATCCGCAAAGGGCCGGTGTGTGTGCAGGTTTTTGGGATAACCTGTAGGTCAGCTGTTCAAACCCAGGTGTGAAGACTCAGCCAATCAGTCCTCTAATTAGTAATCTAATCAGGGAGTTGCAGCGAAAACCCGCATACAGACCAGCCCTTTGCGGATAAGATTTGTACCCCTGCCCCAGATCATTGTTTCTCAACCCAATCCTTGGGGGCCCCCAGACAGTCCACATTTTTGCTGTCTCCCAGCTCCCAGCCCACCTGAACCATACAATTAAGAACAAACTGAACAATCAAGATCACCAAATACCTGGTACAGGAGTGTTGGGATCTGGGAGAAGGAAAAAATCTGGCCTGTCCAAGGGCTGTTAAGGACTGGGTCAAGAAATGCTGCTGTAGGTGAATTGGTGACTCTGAATTTTTCTTTGTATTTATTTGGTTGTTTACTTGCTTGAATGTCCTCCAATGGACTCGGGTCTCAACATAGTGGAACATAAATTAACCTAATCTATAGTGAATCACATCAATTGTATTGCTGTAGGGGTTTATTTAGCTGTATTGATGCCTTTGCCTTTTGAGGTTTTGAAATCCTTCATGATTCTGAATGTAGAGTGACAGAGAAGGCGGACGAGAACAAAATGACAGCCAGCAATTTGGGAATCATCTTTGGGCCCACGCTCATCAAACCGAGGCAGGTGGACGCGGACGTTTCGCTGTCCTCGCTAGTGGACTACCCCTACCAGGCCCTCATCGTGGAGCTCCTGATCCGCCACTACGAAAAGATCTTTGACATCTCCACCAGCCCATCGCTCCCAGCAGGCGGGACCTCTCCAGGAACCCCAAAAGACATGCCACCAAGACTGACCCCCCAGGAGAAGGAACAGATGCTCAGCAGGCATTCAAAGTCTCTGGTGGACATCAAGGAGGTAGGATTGCATCTGAGAAGCAGAGAGGAGGTGTCCAACAAAAAGCCTGCTGTGATACCAGGAGCGCCTCTAACATACTTTCTGGTGTCCTTACAGGAGAGCGTTAAAGTGTACAAACGGCACTCGTCTGTAATTCCTTCTAATCGTTTGTTGGATGAGGTAATGGAAACAAAAGACAGCTCAGACTGGAGGAAGACATCATCTGGTAAATATGTTTATACAGCCAATGTATAAAGTTTTTGTGACGTTTTCTAACATTCGTCAATATTTTTGGTCAAAACCATCATTTTTAAATCTTGCTGTTGTAGTTTTCAGCTCGGTGTCAGAAGAACTCAACGGACATGAGGAGGAGATCCATAGATCCACGTTGGTATTTAGCAAGTCCTATGACAGCCCAACCAAAACCCATCAGCGCCCTCTGCGGACCAGACTGGCGTCTCGGCCCGTGAGCCTCGCCCTAGATAACCCATCCGGCCCGGCCCAGGCCGATGAGGTAAACTCCAGAAGCACTGCAGATTGTGAATGCAGTCCTCCCATACAGGAACTGGAGGAACCAGACCGGTCCGGCGCCAGCATTAACAGCCACAGTCAAGACACACGTGTCAAAAATCTGACCCTCAGGAGAACATGGGACAAGCAGTACAGGCATTACAGCGTTACTCCTAGGACTGCGAAGACTACGGTCAATGTTTCTCCTCAACAGGAATCAGGGGAATTTGAGAAACTGTCTTTGACTATACCATCGGAATACGTTAAAGGAGGCTTCAAGAATGATGCAAACGACTCCAGCCCTAAACCTACTGCCTCGAGGGCACCCCGGACATTACAGCCCCCACCTGGAACATTCTACAAACCTTCTCAGAACAACACTACGACACAGTCCTCAGATGTGGACGTGAAGGCATACGTTTCACCCACCAACAGCGCGGGAGAGGTGAGTGTGGAGGTGGAGGAGTCTGTCGATGAAGTTTCTGTTGACGCTGAGGTGGAATCTACAAATGTTCTTGTGACACAGCCCCAGTTTTCTGGCTGCGGCGTGCAGGACGCACTCCCAGTCAAGCCAGTATACCAGAGACTGCGACCCCGACGCCTGCCGGAGCTGGAGCACAGGGAAGCACATTTCGTATGACAGCTTACATCATGTAAATCGTCAGCCATGTTGTGCCATATCGTACATGAAGAAGAACATATGACAATGAACCATGGAAGTGTTACATGTATTTATGCATTCTTATTAATCTGTTTGCCACTGTTGCTGGAATAAGCACACAATTGCTCCCTAAAATGATGTTGCACTTAATGATAAAATTATTTAATGTTACATACATATTTAGGGCAATAGAAAAGAACAAGTCGGTCATGTATATCGCTGCCATTTTTAAACTATGAACGATGAAGGGAAACGTTTTTTACATAATGTTTTTAAGCAACATAATAAACATGTTTATACATTCTTCACACGTTGACCAATGTGCAAAGTTAATTTTTTTTTGTCACTATCTGTATGTTTATTTGCCAAAAAATGATTTAAAATTTGTTACTTTTTTTTGTTACGTCACTTTATTTTAATTATTATAGTGCACTTACTTGGTTGCAATCAGTCACATTTTCCAAATGGTCTTTCCGCTCATTGGATGCTGTGCTCTGGAAGAGGTTGAGTAAATTAATACCCCCCCAGGCGATAGTGTCTGTACATGTAGACCTATGCATAAGTTAAGCAAGTACATCTGATGTTCTGTGTATTCTGTATATCTGTTAATGTCCTCTGTCTATCACCTGCAATGAATGATTGTTGTAAAAAATATGTATTGACTGTATACCTTTTTGCAAGCAATTCATAAGACCATGAAACTCATTTTTATTAACTTTTAATAAGTTCTTAAATAAATACCCAAAGCAGCTTTAAAATATACCAGGACATGGATGGCTGTAAATACTTCATGGTATATTCATCATCATCCTAACCAAGATAAGTGGTTAGAAAATGGGCTGATGGACCAATGAGTGGATGTTCATCCTTTGTTCATCAGAACAAAATATTTTTATGATCTAAGGTTTTTGAGTTGTTTGGATGCTAATGAAAACAATAGGTACCAGCTGAATTTATGCATATGAAGTCAAATGAACACAGCAGGTTCTGTTATAGTCATACTGATATATACTTTTGGATAAAATGACTACAGTAGGATGTGTTATGAGTCACTTCTCTTGACTTTTTTTTTTTGATTGCTTAACATTCTGTTTCAGTCTTTGGTGAGGGGAGCGCCAAAATACTGCATCCAGAAGAAACACTGAAATATTAATATTTAAACAACTGATTGGTCTATAGCTATTATATTGTATATATTGTATCTGGCTAATGATGTATTGCCGATGCTTATTTTTATTACCTCCTCTGTCATTTTGCTTGTACATGTGTTTATATATAATTATATTAACTATTACAGCCAACAGTTTGACGAGTCATTTTCATCAAGCTGATTTTGCCATGCATCGGGAAATATGTTTGTCTCTGCTGGTTTCTATGGTTACCTCAGTCACACATTTTATTCTTTAAGTACAGTGTTGAGTCTGTATTCTTAAATGCCTGCCCTGATTAAGACCCTGATAAAAGGTCCCGAATACACAGAAATGGCACTATCATACCTTAAAAGGAATGGCTTCAGAACTAAACTCTTTTCTGGATCTCCCATGTTTTTACCCCTGTAATTATTTACCCCTCTACAAGGTATATACTCTTGGATGTGGGTGTGACAGTTTAGTCATTGACCATGTGACCGACAGGTAACTATAAGCTGGTTTACTGATATGTTTGTACTTGCTTTGAACTAACTAGTTATATAAAGTATAAACCTGTAAACTAGTAAAGTATCTGATAAGCATACAAATCATGTAGCTCTGATATTACTCATCTTGATATGAAATAACCACATCCTCAATTTTGTGTTGCAAATTGAAATGTATCATAATGTATCAAGTTTGTTACTGATAGAAAACACTCAATGACACCATGATGGGCATTTTCAAGTTGGAGCATGTTTCCTGCTGGTAACCTGTGATGTTGCCTAAATGTTCGTAATGTTGGTGATTATGTATGGTTTTACACTGACATTACTGGTACGAAAGCATCAAGCACTACAAAGTTAGCATCTGTCAAAGTGTATTTAAGTAAGTGACCCAACATTAGAAGTTAAGCACCACTGACGCAACCCTGCCTGTGGTAATGCCGCAAGGTTCTGGTGCTGACATTCAGCCAACTAAATCCCATTACAGTTCTAGGGGGTTTAATGTGACCCACTAGCCATATTCTATGTGAAATCTTTCAGTCTGTAGCACAGACTGACAGACATACTGGTGTTGGGCTGCACAGATTTCCTACACGTTTACTACAGTTTCTTAGGTTTTTGTAGGTGATCCAAAACGGATCATAGGAGTGTGGTCTCCAGGATCCGGAAAGAACATTACTGTAATCTGATTACGACTTGACAGGCCCTGCTGGACGGGGATGGTTTTGTGTCGCCATGCAACACTGGCCAGAACGCTAAGTTTTTATGCTTATAAAATGGTGTTTTCCTAATATGTTACTGTAAGGTAAGCGCCCTTATTTTCTGTTTCTATTGACATGTTCTACCTTTTGTATATAGTTCTAATACATGACCACTCAAGGCTTAATGTTGGTTGGTGTGTGGATTAGGGCAACTGACCAAGGGTTTGTAAATCTGATGTTGTAAGTAATATGCTGCCTGCGGAATTCTGACAGAGTTCTGTGTTGAATTTTTAATTTTATATTACAAAGGTATGTAACCCTAACCAAAACATTTAATTATTGGTCCTATTAATAGATGCACAAGATGAAATATCTTATTTAGTCTGCCCTTATTTAGTCCTTAAATGATTACCTGAAATAAAAGTAAATTTTGGTCTTCAGTTTAAAGGTAATGCGACCATACGATTGTGTGACACATTTTATTTGCATGAACATCCATAATAAGTCAACATTATATAACAACCCAAATAAGCATCATCGCTCAGCGTAAACATTTCATAACACACCAGGCCTGGCTTTGAGTTAAACAATTAACAAGCTGGCAAAACGAAAAGTTTCACTTATTCAATTCAGAGCCAGGCCTGGTATGCTCTCCATCCCTGGCTCCATGTATGTGGAGTCTGCATGTTCTTAACATGTTTCAGTTGGTGTCCTCCTACCGTCCAAAGATGACTTATTGAATTGCCTATTGTGAGCGTATAGTAAGAGACTCTCATTCCATCGTACTGTCCCCTGTCATGTGACTGTAGTGGTGTGTGGGGCAATGGGTTAGGGCACGGCGTCTGTGAGCTAAAAGTTGCTCCAAATCCTATAGTCAGCAGAGTGATTTTCCCTTTTGGATCTTCTGCACAGCCCTTAACCCCCAACTGGCCCAGGGAATGGCTGACTCTGCTTTCTCAGAAATGTATGTGTCGCTTTGGACAAAAGCATCTTCTAGATAAATCAAAGGTATAGCCTGATTTTTTTGTGTTAGCATATTTCGTGCACTAATCTCTGATAAAAAAGGTAAATCAATCCATCCATCCATTTTCTGTAACCACTTGTCCTGTTCAGGGGGACCTGGAGCGTCTTGAAATATTAGAAGTAGATACATTTTGGTCTGTTTCACTTAATGTAAATTTGTAGGATGTTTGAAGCAGCTTTTTTTTTCATATGTTTTAACTGGAAGTGCGGTACGAGGCATGGATCAACCATGGTGGCATGCTGAAACCATCGAATGGGTCTGTTGATACCTCCTTCATTCCTCCGGTCCACATGGTTTTTTTTTGTAGACTGCCCTCAATTAACCCATGTTTTTCCCCCACCATTCTCATTTCCAGTTCTCTCCCTCAAATTGTTCTAACATATTGTGTTTCAAACGAAACATACAAGACTGTTCTGCATTCACCACATTGTTTTTTTAGTTTGTAACTTTCCGTTACCTCTAGTGCTGACTGAGTTGCATTCCTTGGGCTCTAATAAAAGGAAACTGGGGGGGCTTCTTAGAAAACAGCTGGAGGATCCTCATTAAACTGGCCAGACGGAGAATGCTGTGTGCTAGAGGTCCTTTTCAGTGGTTTGGCTGCACACATTGACATTTATGTCTCATTGTTGCAATGGACGCAGCACAGCAATTGGGTGGGGAATCGTGTGAGTCAGCAGGTTAGGCCTCAGTGCGTGTGATTGGAAGGTCATCAGTTTAAGCCCCAGCCTTAGCAAAATAGGCATATCTCTACTGGGCACATGAGCAAGGCCACCCTCCCCCCCCCCAAAAAAAAAATATGCTCCAGGGGTGGTGGGTAATAATCACCTGGCTCAGATCCCAAAGGACATTTCTCAAAGGAAATAGAAAAAGGGGGAATTCCCACAAGATTGTGCAAATGGCAAATAAAGAGCACTATTCATATTTTCTCCTTTTCCCAATTTCTTGTACCTTTCACTTTTTTCCTCCCATAAAGATTCTGATAATTAAATTCTGCAGTGCCAGTACCAAAAAACCTGTTTCAAAACACAAATTGGACTTAGTAACTGAACAATGTATTTTTCTAATTTTTGGCTTTCAAGGTTTGTGAACATCAGGGAGATTGTAGTGGATTAACCATGCCTACTGGTTCCCAGATTAAGCTCTTACTTTGGAAGAACTGGACTCTCCACAAGGGACAGAAGGTAATCCCTGCAATTCTCTTGTCCTTTCAGTAAAGAAGTAGTATAGCACCCCAGTGGGTGACATGTGGCTCCGTGGATTATGATATTTGTAATCATAGGAGTGCTGGTTCAAATCCCAGGGTCCGTCATATAATTTCACTGCTGGGCCCTTGAGCAAGGCCCTTAACCCCCAATTGTTCCAAAGATGGTCTGACTATCAGAAATGTACATCTGTTTTCTGTAACCACTTGTCATATTCAAGGTCGCAGGGGTCCATAGCCTATCCCAGAGGCTACAGGTGCAAGGCAGGGAATAACCCAGGATGGGGCCACCAACCCATCGCAGGGCACACACACACACACACACACACACACGATCCCCTTAGGATAAATGTGTCTGCTACGTAAATGAAACATCAGTGCAATTCAACATTTTTCTCAAAAATAGCAGTTTTCCTGTTAAAGGGGTCAGAGTGCACAAAAGAGTAAAACATTTAAGTGCTGTGTTCAACAAGGAAGGAACTGCACTGTACATTGTGGTCACACAGAAATCACCTCTCGTCTAGTGTGGCAGAATCACGTTGATTAAGAAGAAACTAAGTGTACTGGCAGGTATTTTTAATCTTTAATTATTAATGGAAACATTCTAAAAGTATTTCAGTGGAGCTCCTGGCCAAGTTGATTTGGATCAAATACGCACGACCAAAAACGCTCAGCTTGTGAAAGGCAGTCAGCCCTGATGTTGTAATTACGGTTTGGATAGAAAAGTAATTACCGCTTCACAAAAGCCCACACCGTCCGTTTTAAATTGCTCAACGTTTACTCACTCCCTGCAGATTCGGCTATTTGTTGAGATCATGCGGCCGGCTGTTTTATGCCTTGGACTGGTGTGCCTTCGGAAAGCCATCCCCCTGTACCAGCACCACCAGTGTAAGCTAACAGACCACACGCCGTACTGTTATCACTAGTCATTTGTGCTGGTTATTTAATTACAGATATCTGGAATGTTTTTACTAAATGCTACTATTCACTGCTTTGTAGCTGATGCCAATAAGAAAATCGAAAGAGGTTTTAAGGGTTTGCATTCAAACAAAGACAAGTGCTTTGTGTATTATGTAAACGGTGATTAATCGGGGGGGGGGTGTCTTTTGCCTTTTTTTACTATTATTTTTGCTCCGTGATCCAAGAATGGGTAATTCCAGTACTAATCATCATATAGCAATTCTGGAACATTCTTGTATTGTAGTTTCCCACTGATGCAGTGAAGCGGGATGGGGGAGGGGCTGTCTCCTCATTCTACCCCCCGGTCACTTTCCCAACAAGGCAATGCCGTCTGCTGGAATCTTCCCTTGAATCCAGGGGATGTTCTGCAACGTCAACAATCCCTGTTTCCAGTACTCCACCCCAGGAGAATCCCCAGGCCCTGTATCTAACTACCAGAATTCCATGTGAGTTAACATTCTCTACTCTTAAACTGTGCTGGGGGGCCTACAGATATGACCCTTTCATTGCTGTTTCCCACAGAATATTGCCGTGCTACAGTACATTGATGTTTGTTTGACTGTGTACTGCCCTTTCTGCTCTGACAGTGGAGCACACAGGAGATATGGTTCAGTGCCTTTTAGTGATTCCAGATGGGCTTCTCCTCACTTTGACCTCCGCTGCTCAGACTGGCCCGCTTCTATGGGGACGTCCAAGAGCTTCTTCTCAGTGACCCGAACTTCCAGCAGATGGGAAGGCTATGGAATGAGTTGACCATAATGAGCACCTTCATGGATACC